CGGCGGCGGCGGGCGGGGGGACGGGCACGCCTTGACGTGCACCCTCGACCTACGGGAGGCAAACGGGTTGGAATTGGCCGCGCTTCCAGTTGGAGTGTGTAAACATCAAAAAGCGCGGCTCAAAAGTGCCAGCAAGCGCCGCCGCCGGCCTGCAGGTGAGCGCGGCACCCGTGCGCATCGGCACGCTGCAGCGTGGGCTGTAGATTGCAGCAGCCACCCAAACCGCGCAGCCCCGGCGGTGCCATACAATCGGCGAGGCGGCGGCGGGCAGGTGGGAAGGGAGTAATGGAAACGGCCGACAGTCGTGCCCCGATCAGGCATTAATGGTGCGCCTCAATTGCATGATGCCCAAGTGCACCTTGAGGATCGCGTACGAGCTGTTTGCGCATATGATGGTCAGCACGCGCGCCCGCTCCCGCGCCTGGCTCCACAGCGCCTGGAGGGGTCGGTTGGGACAGCAAGTTGCAGTTTGCAAACGTGGCGACACCGCCCGCGTATGCTAGGTTGGGATGGACCGGATCCCCCCACCCCCCCCCCCCTGTCACGGGCTGCCGCGGCTGCTGCAGGAGGCTCGCCAGGCAGCAGCTGCGGCTGTCAAGGCAGATCACGTCAAAAAGCACACAAACGCGGTCCAGGCAACAGCATTGCAGGGACTGCCTCAAGCGTTGATCATAGAAGCCATCCATACACATATTGTGTACATCATCTTATACATATTCACAGTCATATACACATGTATGTATACAATCATATACAGGTTATGCATGCGTGTTTCTTGCCTGCAGCGAGTACATGGCGGACCCGTCTGCCTGCAGGTTGATGACGCGGCGCCCGGGGCACGCCAGCGCGGCGCCCAGCGCCATCGGAGGCCCGCAGCCGATGGCGCCGCCGGTGATGGTCAGGTGTGAGAAGGGCGGGCAGCCCTGGCGCGGTTAGAATCGTTGTGTGTGCGCATGTGTGCAGACGTGTGTCTGATTGTGTGGTGTGATGTGTAAGTGCGCCCCACACACAGGGTGTGTGGAGGGCGGGATTGGATGGCGGTGCAGCGCGCAGTGGTGGGTGTGGTTTGGGGCCCGAGGTGCGGAGCACCTCAGGTGTAGCGCGCGCTGCCGTGCGGGCCGCTAGCCGCCAGCAGGGCATGCGCATGTGGCGCCAAGTTTGGCCCCTGGCAATGGGGCTGCCACTAATTCGGCCCACTCTCATCACCCGAACGGGGGTGCCTCTGCCTCTGGATGCCCCACCACCCAGCCGGCTGCCACCAGTTGCGCAGCTGCCAGGCAACCCTTGCAGCAGAGGTTTTCTAGGTCCCCGGGAGCCGTGTTGCCGTCCAGACCGCGGCTGGACGCACCCACCTTGGCAGCTTCCCAGTAGCTGCTGCCGCTGGTCAGCGACTCGTCCACCAGTACGCACCCCTCGGGCTGCAGCGCGGCCACCACCTGGCACAGCGCCGCCGCGGTCAGCCGGCCTGGGGCCACGCGCAGGGTCGCGCATCGGGGGGTGCGGGTTTCGCTTGTGAGCCAAAGCACTTCCGGGGCGGGGGTGCGTTTTCCGGTAGGGGGAGGCGTTGCACACCGGGGAGCAGTGCAACAGCGGATTGCCGGTGGATGACTGAAGGAGCAAGACCGGCTGATGTTAAGCTAATAGGCAACAGCTAGACAATCAATGTGCGCTTCATTGGGGCTGCGCGGATGTGCTTGATTGTCGAACAGCCGCCGCTGCAGTTTTGGCTGTTGCCTGATCTGGCGGCCGCCAGCGCGCCGGGCGTCGCGGCTGCGACCCACCGTCCGGCGGCAGCGGCGGCCGCGCGGGCGCCGCGAAGACGCCGCGGCAGCTGACGCCCGGCGTCACCCCGGCCGCCCCTGCCTCTGCGGCCAGAAGGGCGAGCGCCTCTGGGACGCCCCAGGACGCGTCAATCTCCCAAATGACGTCATCGGGCAGTTCAATCAGCCGGCTGGGGCCGCCGCTGCATACGCGGGAGTGCAGAATGCAGGGGGAATGTTAGGTCACGGCAAGCTGCAAGGGATGAGCAGTTTGGTTTCGCGCATCATCCTGTGCAAGTCTGGGGGCGGTGGGAAGGGGCGGGCCGCAGCGCCTCGCTCAAAGGGCGCCGCGCCCTGGCCAGGACGCGAGCGGCCAGAACGCACGTAGATGCAATGGGGCGTGCACCCAACACGGCATGGCCGACGAGCGGACGGCGCCGCCCGCCAGAAAGCAGTCGAGGTCGGGGTGGGCCACTAAGCGGGGCCGCGCCTGCACTGGGCGCTGGCAGCAGGAGGCTGCTGGTTGCTTTTGCGGCCTGCCTGTCTCCGCTGTGACTCCCTCCTCCTGTGTCTCGCATTATCTGTGTGTCCCCTCTGCACTCACTCGTAGCCGAAAGGGGCCACTGGGCGCCGCGCATCGACAAGGAGGATCACCTCGTATGCCGCCAGCTGCTGGGCGGCTTCCTACCAGGGTTGAGTCATGGTGTATCCGGCACGCTTGTCAAAGAAGAGTGCCGCGCTGGCGGGGAGGGGGGCTTTGGCGGTCACGGCCAAGGGCGGCCCTCTCGTGCGGCGGGCGCGGCCCCTTGGAAATGCCGGGCCGACATTGTTGGCGATGACCACGACCCCGCCCACCCAATGGCCCTCCACCGCCGCAGATTTTGGGGCGGGTTTGTGCAAGTGCGAGGCGCAACACATCGTCGACGAGCTCGTTGCGATCGAAAGGATTCAATCCCCGAGCAATCCAAGCCTAGCATGCGGCCGGAGCGGCGGCCGTTCCCCCAGGCGGCCAAACGCGCCGCGGCCATCCGGCCAACACGTCCGAGGGCTGGCAGGCGGGTGAGGTGCGGGGTTAGGTGGCCCTGCAGCGCACCTCGGGAAAGTATGGGATGCGCCGCAGGTGCGGCAGGCCGGCCCCGCGATCGACGCGCGCGAAGAGCGGCTCCACGTAGGCGTGCGCCCCGCAGGCGGCTGCGATCAGCCCCGCGTTTCTCAGCGCGCCGCCTGCGCGGCCGGCGGCGGGGCGGGCGAGGGGGTGGGAGAGCGGGAAGGTCGAGGGCCGGCCATCCAAGAGGTGCGCATGTGCTGAGCTGGCGGGGTGCATTCATTGCCGGCCATCCCAGCCGTCAGGTCCGCATTATCCTCGGGGTGCGGCAACAACAAACACGGCTCACGGAGCAGTCATCACACCACAAAGGCACACCCCCACGCCACCCCCTCTCCCTGCACGACTGCTGGCACCGGACCCCCCCCCCCCTGCGGGGAAGCTGTGGACTGCACTCCCCTCTCCTTCAAATCGCAAGCACACAACACCCAACCCCATGCACGCATGAATGAAACGGACGAACGATGCAGTGCAGCAGGTTGGCCACCCAACCCACCGTCCTCCAGGGTCGCTCGGCCCCCCAGGATGATCGCCGCCGTGCCCCTTGCCCCCGCCTCCCTCAACGCCTGGCGGCGGGGCGGGTGTCGCAAACAGAAAGCAGTTGCGAAGGACGGTGCGGCAAATACACGGCAGCATAAGCGTGCAGGGGCTTTCATTGCCGCAGCCCTGGGCCGCCGCATGCGCGAGGCCGCGAGCTGTCAAAACGGCGCCGCTACCTCGGCGCAACACAGGGCAGGTGTGGCCTTGTCAAAGGAAGCATGCAAAAGCCGCGCAAAGCACGTTTGAGCCTGCACGTCTCGCTGCTGCGTTGGCGGGTGCCGCGCACGCACGCCCGCACGTTGGCACAGCGCTTGATGAACTCTCGCGCCCCCTCAGACTGAAGCGCCGCTGCTGCCACCCCTGCCTCTGCCACTGCCGCCCCAGCCGCCGCCCCAGCCGCCCCCTCCGTCGCTCTGGGGACGCCAACGGCAATGCAGTCGCTGCTGGGCACGCCCCCGTCTGTCTCGACACCCGCTGCAACCGCCTTCTGCCAGCTGACATCATGAGGAAACACGACAGTCACCACATTACTCGGCCCCGCGGGACCCTCCCCCTCCCCCCCGCCCCCCTCCGGCGCCGCCGGCGCTGATGCGGCCGCGACGGCGGCGGCGAGCGTGGGGCCGGCGGCGGCGGGGCTGGCGACGCGCATCACGCGCCCCTGGGTCGCGGCAAGGGCCTCTATGTCTGAGTTGAGGACGGGGTCGGCTGTGCGGTGCCAAGTGGCCATGTCGCCGACGATAACCTGGGAGCCGTTGGTGGGGGCCAGCGGTTTTTCCAGTGTTGTTTTTGGTAGGTGAAAAGGGAGCTGGGGCGTGAGGCTGCGCTTGGTGTGCTTCGCCCACGCACGCATCTCACATGCAGTCACTAGCGGCGCGGCCGTTGGCATGCGATGGGCTGGCGCCTTGGACACGCATGCAGGAGCGCGTGTATGGGTGCACGCGCGCGCACGCACACGAGAAAGCGTGCGCGGCCGCCCGCCCAACCAACCCCCTTCGCGCACACGCACATGCAGTCGGTGCAAACCCACCACGACCGGCGTCCACGCGCGCCGTGCGTTATGGAGGTTACACAGCCCGTTGCCCAGGCCGGGCCCCAGGTGCAGCAGCGCCAGCGCCGGCTTGCGCGCCATGCGCTGCGTCGGCCAGGTTTGCGGTGCAGGGTTTTATTGATTGTGGGGAAGGGGAGAGTGGCTTGCAAATAATTGAGAACTCGTTCGTTGGGTGTGAGTTTTGGGGCAGAGTACGGCCGCTCTCGCGTAATCAAGCGGTTTGAGCCGGCCCCTCTGCCCGGAGGCGCGGCTGCCCCTGCGTCCCAGGCCTGTGCAAGCATGCCCTCCCACCGCATAGCCGTCGCAGGCGCCGGTGCAGACGGCCTCGTGCAGTCCGAGGCAGGGCCTGATCCCCGGCGATCTGTCCAAGGCAGCAACAAGCCACATCTCGGTGGTCCCGGGGTTGGCAAAGCACACGTCTGCGACGAATGAAGGGTTCAATGGTCAGGTGCAGTTTTGAGCGGGCGCGGCGGCAGGTGCGGAGGTCTGGGGATTTTCGGTCGGCGGCGGGCGCCGCGTGGCGGCGACGCGAAGCATGTGTGCAGAGGGTGCGCGCACCGATGCCCGCGGCGTGCGCGGCGGCCATCGCCGCGTCTGCAGCGGTGAGGGCATGCATTTAATTTGGTGCTGGGAGCAAAGGAGGGTCAAGAATACGAGCCGAGCCTTCTGGTGCCCAGAGCTGCGACAGCCAAGTGAAGGCTGTCGGTTGCTGTTTGGGTGGCGTCGTGCCTGTTGCAACGCCGCCTGGATTACTTTGTTTTGAAGACTGTGCAGACTAGTATACGAGACCCAGCAACACTCGTTTCAGTCCTTTTCGGATGCCCCGAGGCTCGAACGTCCGAGTCCGTTGCACCGCAGATCGCGCGGTAGATCGCGCGGGAGACCCTCGTACCACCTTTCAAAACACGTACATAGACCTCCACCGATCGCGCTGGCCTCTCCCCAGGGACGCCAGGGCCGCGCCGCCGCGATGACGCAGGGCACCCTCGCGCTCAAGCTGTCCGGCCTCGCCGAGGGAGCAGCCATCGGCGCCGCGGCCGCCGCACGCATCACCACCGCCTCCGACGACGCCGCCGCGGCCCACGAGCTCGCCGACCTCGTCTGCTCCAGCCCCGACGTCGCGCGCCGCGTCGCCGCCGCGCCCGCGCCGCCCGGCGGCGGCGGCGGCGCGCTGGGCCTGCTCGCCTCCGTCCTCGACGACCCGGCCGCCGCCGCGCCCGCCAAGCGCGCCGCGCTGCGCGCGCTGACCGCCATGATCCGCGGCGGCCCCGCCGCCGCCGCGCGCGTGGAAGACGCCGCGCTGCCGTCGCTCGTGCACGCGCTACAGGACGACTCCGCGCGCGCCGGCGCGGCCGCCGCGCTGGGCGCGCTGTGCGCGCTGGGCCAGGAGACCCTGACTCATCGCATCGCCGAAACCGAGGGCGCCGCGACCGGCCTGGTGGGGGCCCTCGTGGCCGACCCCCGGGACGCCGCCGCCGCCGTCGCACTATCCCACGTGGCCGCCCTAGATGGGCGCCTCATCGGCCGCGCCATCGCAGCGACCCCCGGCGGCGCCGCCGGGCTCGCGGCCGCGCTCGCGTCCGGCTGCCCCGGCGCGGCGGAGGGCATCGAAGCGTGCCTTGCGACCATTGGGGAAGCGAGCCCAGATTTATGGCGCCAATTCGCTGCCTGCGAGGGCGCGCTGCCTGCGCTCACGCGCCGCCTCTTCGACCGCGCGCCCGCCGACGACGACGCTCGGCCGCTCTGGCTGCTGCGCCACACGGCCACGCACGCGAAGCGGCTCGGCGGCGCGGGCGCGGACGCGGGGCGCGCGGCGGCGTCGGCGGTTGCCGCAAAGCACCTGCTCGCGCGGGAGTCACAGGAGCAGGCGCTGGCGCAGCTGGTGCTGTCTCAAGCCTATCTAGACGCGCCCCCGTGGGTGGTGGCGGCGCTGAGGCACATGGCTGCGGAGATCGAGGCGCTGAGGGGGCGGCTGGCGGAGCTGGGCGGGGCGTCGGACGACGGCGCGGCGATTTGAGTGGGGCGAATGGAAAAGCGTGCGCCACAAAGCCGGGCGCATGCGATCCTCCGCGGACGGGGGAAATGGGGGTTCAAGCGTGCGAGCGGGTGGGTTAGGCTCTGCGCTGCCCCTGGCGGGCGGCAGTGACGCCGGCGATTTGGCTTGTGAGGGTGGCTGCCGCGGCGCCGGGCGCGAGGCGAGGTGAGGTGGCAGGCGGGCGGGCGGGCGCCATGGAGGGCCCGCACCTGCCTCAGCCGGCGGCGTCTGAGTGTGTTGCGGCGGCGCCTCCTGTACGTCCACCACTGATGATGCCTCTGGTGGTTGTAAGGCTCGCGCTTTGTCTCTCCAGCCCAACCTGCGTGCGTGGCCCCAGCTGTTGCCAAAAGGTTTCGAATTCTGGCAGCAGCTGCCGGGCCTCGCTCTTGGCCAGCAGGCGTGGCGAACCCTTGAGCCCGTGCCCTGAGACTTGTCGAGCCGTCGGGGGCAACTTTGCTGCGGCGGCCGCTGAGCAAACATCCGTGCATTCAGAAGAAAGAATTGGAGGGCGGGCAGGTGGCGCGAGCCGCTGCTGGCGAGCCTGTCAGACGCGCAGCATGCATGGCACGCACGCGGCCGCTGCCCGCCTCTTGCCGCCTCGCGCCGCACTTATGGCTTGGAAGGAGCAGCTAGGGAGCGGCCCCAGGTGCTTGCTCAGGTCTCTCTACTGCGGCGTCAATAAACAGAGATTCAGAAAGCGCGGACCAAATGAAACATTTGAAACAGACATGGTTACAACAGTTGAGTGTTGGTGAGTCGTACACGGGATGCGTCGCGAAGCGGGGCGGCGCCGCGCTCGCACCGGCCCCCGCGCCCGCGCCTCGCAGCGCGGCGTCTCCGCAAGGGCGCGCGGGCTCGCCGACGGGCGGGGCCCGCGGCCAGCCGCCGCGCGCCTCTCCACGCCGCGCGGCGCCCCGGGCCCAAAACGAGCAACCTTATATCGGCTGAGCTGCCTCCCGCCGCCGGCCCTAACAGTCCCATGACAAAACTAGAGCTCTAGGGATGCACGCCGGCTGCCCCGGCTTGCGCTCAGGCACGAAGGCTGGCCGGCGCGCGGCGCCGCGGCTGGGGGCAAGGGGGGCCGCGGCGCTGGCTAGGGGGCGGGGACTTAGGGTTGGAGGCCGGGGCAAGGGCGCCGCGGCCGGCGTCCGCGCGGCCGTGTTGCAGGCCGGCGGCGCGTGCGTTGCGTGCAGGCGCACAGGTTGAGGGGCCGCCGTCAAAATCGATTTGAGGGACGACACAGCGCCTTGAAAGGAGAGCGAGGGGGCAGGATTCCTGGCCCGATTTGAGCGCAGGGCCGATGATGACAACATATGATGTCATCTCGCGGCCCCTGCCAAACTCCCCTAGCTGCAGACGGGCCGGCCTTTCGGCGGCCGTCCGATGCAGAGGCTCGGTCCCTAAAAAACATGGGGGCGGAGCCGCGCGAGCGGCCGCGGCGGCGGCACCGAGGCCGCTGTCCCCGCAGCGTGGGCGCCGCGCCGCGCGGCGGCGGCGGGCGCCGGCCCCGCCCCGGCTGCGGCCGGCGGGGGCATGTGCGGGGGCGGCGCGTGGCCGACAAACGATGCGCCTTCTATTCGAGCCTTTCTTAATTGGCGCCGCATCACGGCGACGCAGAGC